AGTGACCAGCACAAAGCAGGAAGGCAGGATGGGGAAGAATATGCAGGCAGGGAAGGAATTAAGCTGAGGGACTGCAACTGCCCTTCACTATTTTTGGTTTTTGGGATATTTGTAGACAAGTGCTTGGGTGATTCTCTAACTTCAAGGGGTCATGCCACAGTCAAGGACAAATGATACCAGTTCCTAAGCCTATGGTGTGGTCCTCTGGGACCATTAATGTTGAAGTCAAAGTTGTGAGTTTTTTTTCTGGTGATGGAGGCAGGGGAAGTTCAAGACAGGCATAACTGTCCTGGACCTCACTCTGTAGACCATGCTGGCCATGAACTCAGAGATCCACCTGCCTCTGCCTCTTGATTAAAAGATATGCTCCAATACCACCTGGCAAAGCTGTGAGTTTGAGTCCCAACTCATATGTTGATCTGTATGAACCAAGTCTTTCTGCTGTGGACCCCCAAATCCACACATTGCAGCCTTGTGCTGGGTGTGGTGAGGGCAGGAGGCCTGAGTTTGAGGCCAGCTCAGACAACACAGTGAGCCATCAGAGAAGAACGCCAGAAAGAATAAATCCTAACTCCCAAGGGTGTGGCATTAGGAGGTGGACTAGAAGGCTGAAGCCCTCACAATGGGATAGGTCCCTTTACAAAGCAAGCCGGAGGCTGGGACAGTGGCACAGGCTTGTAATACCAGTGCTTAGAAGGCACAACCCGGGCTACTTAGGTACATAGTGAATTCCAGGCTACCTGGGGTGCTATTCTAATAAGTGACAAGCCCTGGTCTCAAAAATAAATAAGCCCGAGAAAGCTGTCTGTCCCTTCTGTGTAATCACGGAACTAGAAGTTCTATCTTTACGGAAGCGCCATTCTTTAGACATTGCCAGCACCTGTGTGGTTTATAAATCACACAGTCTGTGCTGATGGACCTTCATGGTCAACTTGACTGGACTGAGAATTACCTAAGGGATTAGTAAAGCATGCCTCTGGGTGTGACTGTGAGGGCTTTATCTGAGACCATTAGACCACGATGGCTCTGACCTAATGAGTGGATAACTGACTCCCAGCGTGATGGAATTATTGGAAGGTGGTCAAAAGCAGGAGCTAGCTGGAAGAAGCCCATCGCCGGGGCATACCCTCAGGACTGTATCGCGCTCTGGCTCATTCGTGTATCTCTCTTTTGTTTGTTTCCTGGCCACCATGTTGTGAATTGCTCTGTTCCACTGTAGTCACAATGAAATGGCATTACTGAAACCCCAAGCCATCTCTCCAGCCCTGGTTCCTTCCCTGCTAAGTTGCTCTTTCTGAAGAGCTATGAGAAAAGTGATACATATACAGTCTAACATATTTTGTTATGTTAACCTAAGTAGATAAAGGTCATTTTCTGAGCTGCCCATTAATAAAATTGGGGTTTAGCCAGTCTTTAATCCCAGCACTCAGGAAGCAAAGGCAGGGCAGATCTCTGTGAGTTTGAAGCCAACCTGGTCTGTATAGTGAGTCCCAAGCCAGCTAGGGCTATGTAGAGATGCCCTCTCAAAAATAAACAAACAAATAAATAAAACTGGGGCTTTAAATAACATGCTCACACTGTCAGTGTGGGAGAAATAGGATTTTATGTGGCTTGAAGCTTCTAAAGCTTGAGAGGTGAAGGGTGGTGAGAGTATAAATCTCAGTAGGTAGCATGCTTGCCCAGCATGTCTGAAAGCCTAGGTTCAATACCAATACCACATGAAACAGATATGGAGGCATAAAGCCTTTATCCCAGCACTCAGGAGGTGGAGGAAGTGAAACAGGGCAAAGGTTTCTCCATCTTGTCTCAGTTGAAGTCATCTTTGGTTTCTGCCCCATGCCCTGAAAAGTCCTGTGGGAAAGCACCTAACCCTGCTCTGGAAAATGGTGGTCAAAATGCTCCAGCTAACTTCGTCTTCTTGGCTCTTGTTAGATTGCTTGCAACTGCAACTGCCAACCAGCCTGTAGTTTTTCTGTGGATTTTTATTTATTTGTTGCCTTAAAATATTCCTTGTAATATGCATTCAGAACTGCTCTGTGAGAAGTGTTTCTCAGCAAGAATTTTGGTCATGCTGAGTTGTCTCTTTGGATCCCTAACCTACAATAGCGGATGGATCATAAGTTCTAGATCATACTTTGGAGATAGCTTAGTGGGCAAATCATTGCTGTGCTGAGGACCTAAGTTCAAATTTCCAGAACTCACATAAAAGCTGACCTCCGTGTGTGTGTGTGTGTGTGTGTGTGTGTGTGTGTGTGTGTGTGTGTGTGTGTGTAATCCTGTAATCTCTGGATTCCTACAGTGAAATACGAGGTGCAATCAGGAGATCCCCAGAAGCTCACAGACCAGCTAATCTCGTGTGTTCAGTGGAAAAAACAAGACACCCTGTTTCAGAGAAGATAGAGATGGCTCTGAGGTTAAAAGCACTGCCTTCTCTTCCAGAGGACCTGGGTTCAATTACCATTACCTACATGCTGGTTCACAATACACGTACATACCTACATTATGTATTGTTTTGGAGGCTGTCCTGGAACTCATTCTGTAGACCAGGCTGGCCTGGAACTCAGAGATCCACCTGCCTCTGCTTCCCGAGTGCTGGGATTAAAGACGTGCCACCGGCACCACCAGGCTGGTGGAAGATCCTGGTGCCTGAGGATAAATATATAGCCCTGGTGAACAATGAGGAAAGAGAGTATGTGAAGAACTGTGATAGTTTGTGTCCAAATGCCAGGTCAGGATCCAGGAATATGAGAAGCAGGCTGGAGAACATGAAGACCATCTTTGACCAGATGACCAGTGATCACTTGAATGAAATTTTCCCAGAAACCAAGCTAGACAAGAAGTATCCATAATGGCCTCACCAGCCCATTGAGACCCTGTGGCACAGGCCAGGAAAGAGCACCAGCCCTTCATTCCAAACTCTGGACATTAAAGTAGAACATTTACATAGTGAAAATAAAAAGACAGGAGCTCTCAGCTACTGCTCCAGGGCTATTGTCTGCTGCCATGCTCCCTGCCATGATGGTCATGGACTCGAACCCTCTGAAACCATAAGTCCCAAATCAGATGCTTTCTCTAAGTTGCACTGGTCATGGTGTCTTATCATGGCAATAGGAAAGTAACTAAGACATGAATGTATGCACATATGCACACACATCTGTTTCAGGTCATTTTTAGTTACATAGTGAGTTTGAAGAAAGCCTAGGCTACACGAGCCTCTCCTCCCTCCCCCCAAAGAAAACCCTGAAGTCTTCAAACCACATATTCTGCCGTTTGTCCTGAATTCCAGCAGTTGTTGAAGGCCACACCTAAGCTGAGAATCAGGAGCCAGCTACCATGACGATGGCTACGTAGCAACAACTGAGAGTTCCCGAATCAGTGTGTCCCTGTGTGATTTGCAGGGCTCCGTGTGGACTCAAATCCACTTCCTTGTCCTCACGTCAGGAAGGAAGCCTGCCCTTCTTTTAAACATTTACTGTTCACTTTCTGGCTGTTGTTACCGAGTTGAGGACTAAGCTTTTAGCACGTCCAGCAGCCCTTGGATGAGTCCTTTGCTGTCAGAGCTAGGTGTGGTTTGCAGGAAGTATGCTTACTCTGTCTAGAAGGACCAAGGCAACGCAGCACCGCCCTTGAAGCCATTCTTTCTTCTAAGCCCCTGGCCAGCCTGAGTTCCGGGCACCCCATGACCTGCCCCCACCTGCCTCCCAGACACTGACCCTGCCAATCTCTCACTCTGCCACTGGTTATGTTTGGCTTGCTGCCCAGGCCTCCCCAGCTCTCTCCCTCCTCTTGTCTCCTAGGCTCCTGCAGGTCACCCTTGGGATTCTCAGCTCTGGACCCAAGTTTTACCATTTCCTGTTTCCCTAGTTGTATTTTATGAGGGACAAATACGTCTAGGTATTGTTGCTGACAGGAGACAGACCAACGCAACCCTGAGTCATCCTTTCTTACCACTGCGTCCCCACAGCAAATCCATCTCTCCTTTCTTCATCCTTAAGATGTGACCTCGGACAAGTCCTGTACTTCTTGGGCTGCTTTTCAAACATGTAGGCTTCAAACTATAAGCTGAATCATGCGGCTTATTTATGGTACTAATTTTCATAATTAGGATTTTTCACTTCAGGACAAATCAAAGGCTCATTAAAAATTCATGATCCTCAGGCATGGGGTATGTGCCTGGGCTCCTTCCTGGAAGGTCAGACAAAGACTCTAAGAGGAAACCCCAAGAGGCATCATCTCTGATTCCTTCTTGACCATGCACACACAACTGCCCAAGTCTTTGATGGACCATGAGACCAGGTCCCAGCGGGGATCGGAGACCAGGGTGAGCAAATGAGAGGCAGGCACAGACTTTAGGAGCCAGCCTACAGCAGTACCCTTCCACTCCTGACCGGGCTGGGCCACCATTTTCAGCTATCCCATGGTATTACCAAAGAGGAGAGAAAGTAAAAAAGAAAGAACCCCTGGGTCTGGCTGCTCTGTGGCCAAAGGAAGTGGGCAGGGGTTTCACTTCCCATGAGAGTGCTTCATGGGAACCCAGACCCTGGAGCACTCAAAGGAAAACCATTGAAGGGATCAGCCCCCTACTTTGGCAGCCATGACAGGCTGCAGAAAGGACATGTAGGCCTCTAACTCAGCACATGTCTGACCTTGCCAGGCCTGCCCTGGTCACTAGGAGATCAGACACCCTCCTTATGGCAAGGAACCAATCAGAAGTTAGCTGGCAGGACTCTGATGTGCTTTAAGGCTCTGAGCATGCTTTATAGCACAAGTGGCACAATAGTCACGTGCAGAGCATAGCAACCACCCTGGGAGGGCCTATAGGCCATAACAACCAGTTGACCAATCGACACAGGACATGTTGTCCAAGCCTGGAAGTGCACCAATCCTAAGACTGTTGCCTACCCCCTAGACACTCCCTTAAGGCCGCCCAATAAATTCCCTGGGTCCTTCTCTTGCCATCCGTCACAATGAACGCTAAAAAACAATAAAAGACTCTTTGCTTTTGCATCAGAATGGGTCTCTTGGTGATTTTGGGATTCAATCTGGGCACAACATCATAATCTGGGGAGGAAAAGAAATATGGAATTTGGATTCAATCCTCTCCTAGTATAGGGCAAGACCACCCACACGCTCCCAGTCACTGTTAGTGGACTTTCTTTTGGTTTCTCCAAGCCCTTTCATCATCATACTCCAATAGGCCCTAACGTCAGACCAGGGACTCTCCAATAAGACTCTTAAGATCCCGGCTCTGCGTCGGTGGAAGAAGCCCACTTGAAACTGTCCATGCCTCTAGGCAGCAAGAGGTCCAGAGAGAGGTCCCGCTGCTCAAGCTCGGAGTGCACAGGTCGGTAACCCAGTAGCTGCAGTGCGCCTGCGCACAGTTTCTGGACCTGCTGAATCTTGGCGAAAGGCAGCGAGTGTCTCCAGGCTTGGGACACACTGAGCGCATCCCTGGATGAGGTCTTGAAGGCCTCATGGCGTGTGCCTGGCCCTGAGCCATGCGTGATGTTGTGGATCCAAGCCTGGAGCCGCCGTGTGAGGTTCAGGCCAGTGAAAGCATAGAGCTCACGGATCTCAGTGAGTGGGTCCCGGGCCAGATCCTCGTAGCGCACTAGGCGGTAGCGACCTTTCAGGAAGGGCGGCGGCTTATGCAATGCGGCCTCTGCAATGCGCACATGGCTGCGGCACACCTCATTGACCACGCGCAGCCGAGGATCCGCTTCCACCCACGTGCCATTGGTACCCAGAACGATGCCATTGTCCCGCGCCAGCGCCTTGGCAGCCTGCTCTCGGGAGCGCAGCACCGCGCGGGGGTCGCGCACCAGGTGCACGATGCGCAGATTGAGTGCTGGGTCACTGAGCAATGGGTAGAGAACTTGCAGGTTAAAGAAGCGCACCTCCTTGAGCACTACGTGGCTGTAAGAGCTGCAGGATTCCCGGGCCAGGCTGAAGGGCCGTGTTGCGCACAAAGACTTGCATACCTCCTCGCTACTGATGCTGCGGCGAGCGAAGGCATTGCAGACCGGCGGCGAGCACAAGGCGCGGCTCACCGCCCACTGGAAGAGATCTGAGATGTTGCGGCGCCAGGGCAGGTAGGCATCAAAGACATCCATGTCGCACAGGAATACTGAACGGACCAGGTCGCGGACGGCCATGTGGAGCATAGGGGCACTGCCCTGCGACAGGGCATTCCACACATGCCAAGCCGGCTCCATCAGGTAGAAGACATCTGGGTGTTGGCTGAAGAGCTGGCCCACGAAAGACGAGCCCGAGCGCCACGAGGACAGCACCAGCACATGCACATGCTCCTTACTGCCAGCTCCAGCTGGGGACGATGGCGTTTGCCGGGAGACCAGGAAGACTAGGATGCAGGTCTGTGCTATCAAGAGTGAAAGCAGGAGAGCACCGGAGAAGTGGGGCAGCCGCATGCCTCTGGTTAGGGCCTATAAAAAGGGAAGGACAGGGTTAGGGACTGTGGCCTGAGCTTATATCCCAGGCCCAACTTCAGCCTCGTGCAGGTTGTATTCTACATGTAGCTGTAGGAGGACCCTAAACTTCTGTTCCTTCTATCTCCATCTCCTAAGTGCTGGTTGAAGGGACCAGCCCCCTCCCCTGCTTTAGCAGCCATTATAGGTTGCAGAAAAGATTTGCACGCCTCTGACTCAGAACATGTCTGACCTTGCTGGGTCTGTCCTAGTCACTAGGAGGTCAGATCTCCTCCTCCTCCTCCTCCTCCTCCTCCTCCTCCTCCTCCTCCTCCTCCTCCTCCCCCCTCCCCCTCCTCCTCCTCCTCCCCCTCCCCCTCCTCCTCCTCCTCCTCGAGGCTAGGAACCAATCAAAAGTTAACTAGCAGGACTCTGGATGTGCTTTATGCAGAACATAGCAACCGCTCTGGGAGGGTCTATAGGCCATAGCAACCAGTTGACCAATCAACACAAGTCTGAGTACCGATCTGTTTCCCCTGGGTCCTTATCCAACCATCCACTGTGTTGAACAGAGGAAGGGCCAGAGTTAATGTGGTTAGCTTGTTAAACAATAAAAGACACTTTGCCCCAGGCGGTGGTGGCATCCGCCTTTAATCCCAGCACTCAGGAGGCAGAGGCAGTCTGATCTCTGTGAGTTTGAGGCCGGGCTGGACGACAGCCTCCAAAACAATACAGAGAAACCCTGTCTCATAAAACCAAAAAAAAAAAAAAAAAAAAAAAGACACTTTGCTTTTGAATCAGAATGGGTCTTTTGGTGATTTTGGGGGGTGTTCAGAATTTGGGCACAACACTGGTAACACATCTCCTATGTGTTGCAACTATTTTTTTGTTTGTTTGTTTTTCAAGACAGGATTTCCCTGTGTAACAGCCCTAGCTGTCCTGGAACTTTCTCTGTAGACCAGGTGGGCATCAAACTCAAAGAGATCTGCCTGTCTCTGCCTCCAGAGTGCTGGGATTAAACACATACTCCAACATCACTGGTCCTGCAAATACTGTTTTTCAAGCAAAACTGCCTTTACTTAAGAATCCCTTTCATGGGACTGGAGAGATGGGTCAGTGGTTATGAGCACTGGCTGTTCTTCCAGAGGTCCCGAGTTCAATTTCCAGCAACCACTAGGTGGCTCACAACCATCCATAATGAGATCTGGTGCCCTCTTCTGGCCTGCAGGAAGAACACTGTATACTAGGCAGGAGAAAGGATAGGTGGGGCTGGCAGGCAGAGAATAAACAGGGAGACAGAGCTGGGAGAAGATCTAGGAGCAAAAGGAGGATGAGGACACTAGGGACCAGCCACACAGCTACACAACTACAGAGTAAGAAGTAAAGAAAGTTATATAGAAATAGTAAAAGGTAAAAGCCCAGAGGTATAAGGTAGAGGGGATGATTTAAGTTGAGGAAAACTGACTAGAAATAAGTCAGGCTAAGGCCCAGCATCCATAAGTAAGAAAGAGTAAGCCTAGCCGGGCGGTGGTGGCACATGCCTTTAATCCCAGCACTCCGGAGGCAGAGGCAGGCGGATCTCTGTGAGTTCCAGGACAGTCTCCAAAGCCACAGAGAAACCCTGTCTCGAAAAACCAAATAAATAAATAAATAAATGAATGAATAAAGAGTAAGCCTTTGTGTGATTTACTTGGGAGCTGGGTGGCAGCCACCACACCCAAAAGCCCAAAGAGCAAAGAAATAACCAACAGCAAGCAGAACATGGTAAGATGGCTCCACAGGTAAGGCACTTGCTGCCAGGCCTGATGAGCTGAGTTTAAATTCCTGGAATACACATGTAAAAAGACAGCTGATTCCCCCAAATTGTTCTTGTCCCGTGACCTCCACATATGTACAACCCCCGACACACACAGAATGGGGGTGTGTATCTTAGTAAGCCCTTCATTCAGTCTCAGGACAGCATCAGCCAGGTATGACAGTGCATACCAGTAACTTTAGCATTTAGTAAACAAGGGGGTGGGGGCCAGAAGTTCACAAGATCCAGCTACATAGCAAATCTGAAGCAATTCCACATCACCTGCATCTCTCTCTATCTCTCTCTCTCAAGAAAAGAAGCAAGCTGCGAGGTGTTGGTGCATACCTTTAATGCCAGCACTCTGAGAGGCAGAGGCAAACAGATCTCTGTGAGTTCGAGGCCAGCCTGGTTGGGCTGAAGCTGGGATGGACTCCAGAACAGGGGTGTTCTCTGGAAGCCATGGGCTGTAGAGGAGCCCAGGGAAGTGGCAGGCAGGATGGAGGTAGGGAAGCAGAGAGGCAGAGCAGAGGCATACCCATGGCAGGCTGCTGGCCCTTCCCCTGCTGAGAGTACTCACTGCTGTCCAGGGCTGGGAGAGATGCTTGTGTTGATCACAAATCCATGGGAGGTTCCTGGAGCCTGAGAGCACAGGAGGAAGACTGGTCAGAGCCCCTGGAGGGAGATAGCCCCACTCAAAGAAAGCTCTCCAGGTTAGGGGCAGAGTAGCCCTGCCATTGACAGTTTTCCAAATGAGTGTGAGCTCATGAACTTTCTGGTACAAGGAGGCAAGAGGGCTGGCTTTGAGTCCCCAAACTGCCACGCAGGAACTTTCAAGCCTGGAGCAAGTGGTTTGCTCTCTCTAAGCTTTAATATCTCCTGTCAATGGAGATTGCAACCTTAAATCTCCGTGTTGAAAATGACCTTGAATGTGACATTTTGATCCTTCTTCCAAATGTGATTACAGGCATGCATCACCATGCCTGGTATAGGAGGTACCAGGGATCAAATCCCAGGTTTCATGCTTACTAAACAAGCACTTTATTCACCAAAGCCAATCCTACAGCCTCCAACTCTCTATCACCTTGCCTCTGCTTCCAAAGTGCTAGGATTACAGGCACCTGTTACCATGTCAGGCTGTGGGGGATGATATTGTAAATATCTGTGAGGAGAGGGCCTCACATGGGAGGTCTTGGCCAAGATGAGCCATCCTGAGATCATTTACACATCTTCTAGAATAGATTTACCTCTAATGTCTAATAATCCCTGCTCCTTTAATAGGCCACATTTGTCCAGGAGGTAGGACAAATTTAATGAAAATTTTATTATTTTCAATAGTAAAACTAATATATGCTGTACCTATTAACTCATGCCCATAATCTTAGCACTCAAGGCAGAGGGATTGTTTGAGGCCATCCTGGGCCACCTGAGACCATGTCTCAAAAAAAGCAAACCAAAACCCAAATAAAACCTATAATAAAACTGTTTTTTGGGGGGATTAGATCCCTCTAGCTATTAAAACTGTAATAAGGGGAGTAAAAGATAAAATAGAAGGAATGTGGGAAGCAGAACAAAAAGAGAATCTGGAATACAGACAAAAGAAAACAGAGCAGGTGTCTAACCATGAAGAGTCTCTGTCCTAGTGGAGTTGGCAGTCTAAATAGGGATATTAAGACTCACTCATGGGGTCTGGAGAGATGGTTCAGGGCGTTGGTGGCGCACGCCTTTAATCCCAGCACTCCGGAGGCAGAGGCAGGCGGATCTCTGTGAGTTCGAGGCCAGCCTGGTCTACAAGAGCTAGTTCCAGGACAGCCTCCAAAGCCACAGGAAACCCTGTCTCGAAAAACCAAAAAAAAAAAAAAAAAAAAAAAAAAAGAAGGAGAAATGGCGTGTGACACAGTGCAGTCCGGCATGCCTTGAGAGACCGGGTAGTTCCTACGTCAGAGGAAGCTGAGATTAGTCCAGGTGGAGACGTGGTAGGCACTACACTGCAGAAGGAAGGTTTGGGGGCATGGGGCCTGGACTCTCTTTTGATGATCTTTGATGGAGAGGATTCTGGATGGGAAGTAGCAGCATGAGCAGATGAGCACAATCAGACTTAGATAGCCCTGCAGGCACTGTGCAAGATGGATTGGGAGGAGAGGGTTGGATTAGACCAGAACCCGGGAGAAAAGTAGGCATGACCCTTCCAAGTTCGAGTGTCTGGGCCAGTCATTGGGACCACCATCCTTCTGGTCTTTTGACCATCCATGGATGAGGCATCCTCTTCCTTTTTTAGATTGCTTTGTTTTTATCTTACGTGTATGGATGTTTTTCCTGAATGCCTATATGTGCACTGTGTTCATGCTTGGTGCCTGTGGAGGCCAGAAGAGGGAGCCAGATCCCCTGGAACTAGAATTGTGGATGGTTGTAAGCTGTGAATGTAAGCGACAGGAGCTAAGCCCAGCCCTCTGCAAGAGCAGCAAGTGCTCTTTTTTTTTTTTTTTTTTTTGGTTTTTCGAGACAGGGTTTCTCTGCATTGTTTTGGAGGCTGTCCTGGAACTCACTTTGTAGACCAGGCTGGCCTCCAACTCACAGAGATCCGCCTGTTTTTTTTTTTTTTTTTTTTTGGTTTTACAAGACAGGGTTTCTCTGTATTGTTTTGGAGGCTGTCAGCCCAGCCCGGCCTGGAACTCACAGAGATCCGCCTGCCTCTGCCTCCCGAGTGCTGGGATTAACGCCCGGCGCCATTTCTCCTTCTTGCCTGCAGGCAGCACTAGAGTTGGAATTGTGGTTTTGGATTTTTTTTTGAAGTGTTTGTCAGTTCTCAGGGATCTGGTGTGGGGTTTGGCACTACACAAACACAAGTGCTCTAAGCCGGGCATTGTGCACATAACTATAATCCCAGGATTGGAGAGGTAGAGGCAGGAGGATCAGGAGTTTGAGGATAGCCTGAGCTAAATGAAACCTGTCTAAAAATCAATTTAAAAACAAAAACAACAGCAACAACAACAACAAAAAAACCCAACTGAGGTGGTTTGAATAGAAATGGCTCCCATAAGGCCACAGCCCCAGAGAAGCAGGTAACAAAGCAGGCCCCAAGAGAGGCATACATGGATCTGCCTAGGAAGAGGAAGAAGACAAGATCTCCTGAGTGAATTGGGAGCATGGGGGGGGGCAGGGGGAGGGTGGAAGGGGAGAGAGAAGGAGAGAAAGGGAGTGGGGAAAATGCATGGCTCAAAAACAAAAACAAAAACAAAAACGGATAATGTGTCTGTAGTGGAGACAGAGGGTTAATGTTTTAATGCTTGGCCATAGGGAGTGGCACTATTAGGAGGTGTGGCCTTGTTGGAAGCCGGTGTGTCACTGTGGAGGTGGTCTCATGCTCAAGCTATACTCAGTGTGGCATGCAGCCTCCCTCTGCTGCCTGCCTATCAAGATGAAGAACTCTCAGCTACTTTTCCTGCACCATGTCTGCCTGCGTGGCACCATATTCCTGCCATGATAATAATGGACTGAACCTCTGAAACTGTAAGCCAGACACAATGAAATGTTTTCCTTTCTAAGAGCTACCATGGTCATGGTGTCTCTTTATGGCGATAGAAACCCTAACTAAGACACCAACCAAACAAGAAACCAGTTGTTAGATTTCCTATAAGGAAGCACTGCTCACCCATTGGAAGAGCTTTAGGACAGCTGACTCTGGTGAGAGTATCCTTCAGGCTGTGAAACTCAGCATGTAGATCTGCCAAAACTGAAACAAAAGCCTAATCCATCAAAGCCCATAGTTATGGCAAAGTCTCCAAATGTACTGACTTTACTTTTTTACTTCTGTAGTTCTGCTTTTGGCTAACTGTTCTTGTTAACTGAAGTTAATACACCCAGGACACTTCTTTTTGTGCTTAAAAACTCACCCTGACAAAGGCTCAGAGGTACACTGGGATCCTGAAAACCCAAGAGTGTAGTCACCAGCCGGCTAATAAAGACTTTCTATTGGTTTAAACTCATGTCCAAGCCAGGCGTTGGGGGCGCACGCCTTTAATCCCAGCATTTGGGAGGCAGAGGCAGGCAGATCTCTGTGAGTTCGAGACCAGCCTGGAGTACCAATCGAGTTCCAGGACAGCCTCCAAAGCCACAGAGAAACCCTGTCTCAGAAACAAAACAAAACAAAACAAAACAAAAACAAAAACAAAAACAAAAAAACCTCATGTCCAAGTAGTCTTCTCTGGTGCACACCCCACAACGGTTTGGAAGCGGATGACTGAGCACTCCTTGTTTGTTGAGGGGCATGTGTTCTGTGGTGGTTTGGAAGAAAACAGCCCCTAAAGGGTATTAGGAGGTATGGCCTTGTTGGAGAAAGTGTGTCACTGTGGGGATGGACTTGAAGTCTCTTTCGTTCAAGCTTCCCTCAGTATGAGTGTCAGTTGGTTTTCTACTGCCTTCTGGTCAAGAAGTAGCCAGCACCATGTCTGCCTGCATGTACCGTGCTCCCCACCATGAAGATAATGGACTGAACCTCTGAACTGTAAGCCAGCCCCCTCAATTACACGTTTTCCCACGGCCATGGTGTCTCTTCACAGCAACAGTAAACCCTAAGACACGTTCCAAGACTGGCTTATCTACGTACTTACCCCTTCTAATTCCTGGCCTCACCTAGAAGTAGCTTAAGGCTGTAGAGATGGCTTGTCTGGCAGAGGACCTGGGTTCTAACAACTATTCACAGCTACAGTTCAAGGGGATCTGACCCCTCCTCTTGACCTTTGTCGGCACCAGGCACACACATGGTACACAGACATACGTGTGGGTAAAACGTTCACACATATAACGTGCAGTAAATAAATCAAAAAAGGAAAAGGAAAAAAGAGCAGAGCACCTGCCAGTCCCTAACAGAGAGAGAAAGTGCCAACACAGACAAACACTGAGCAGAGAAATAATGAAGCAAGCCAACAGCGTCATCTAAACATCTGGATCCAGGGGTACAGATTCTCCACTGGAGAAACATTCCATTCCTGTTTAAACCAGTGCAAGATGAGTTTCTGTGACAACCAGGGGTTCTGGATTTAATAGTGGATACTGGTGGTGCACAGAGTTTCTGCGTTCTGGTCATGCTGTTTCTCCACGTGGGAGCTAAATATATAATGTATCGCCGGGCGTTGGTGGCACACGCCTTTAATCCCAGCACTCGGGAGGCAGAGGCAGGTGGATCTCTGTGAGTTCGAGGTCAGCCTGGTCTACAGAGCTGAGTTCCAGGACAGCCTCCAAAACAATACAGAGTATCCCTGTCTCAAAAAAAAAAACAAAAAATACATAATGTATCAGTGATAATTCATCAGTATGGTGTGGTGGTGTACACCTGTAATCCCAGCACTTGGGAGGTAAAGGCAGGAAAGTCAGTTTAGTGCCAGCCTGGGCTCCACAGGGAGTTACAGGCCAGCATGGGCTAAGTGAGACCCTGTCTCAAACAAAGCAAATACCATCAGGTCAGCTTGGTAGTACACGCCTGTAATCCCAGCATTTGGGAAGCAGAGAGAGAGAGAGAGAGACAGAGACAGAGACAGAGAGAGAGAGAGAGAGAGAGAGAGAGAGAGAGAGGTCTATCAAGATACCTTTTGTTGTTTATTTGTGAGTTTATTTTATTTTATTTTTTGAGACAGGGTTTCTCT